CTGGGCAAAGACATCTCCCACATATGGAGATGTTAGTGCCTTGAGTTCAATCCTTGTTGGGTTTTCTGTGTGTGTGTGTGGTTTTTTTTTTACAACACTGCCTCACTTTCCAGAGGTCTCTTGCAAGGAATTTATGACTTTGACATCTTAAGACTTTCAGGAGTTAAAATCTGGTTTTGCTCACCTAGTACCGGAAGTTCCTGGGAAAATAGAAACTCAAACTGTGTGGGTAGCTGCAGTTCCTTTGCTATACAAAAGTCCTTCCCTGTTTAATGTCCTTTGCAGGTAGTCCTTGACACAATTAACGACACAATTGGGACCAGAATTTCCAAGGCAGTGGCTAAGTGAGTCCTGCTTTGATATTACGAGCTTTTTTTTTTTTTTGCCATTTTTCTCCCCCACCCCACTTGAATTTGCTTGTCAGAAGCCAACTGGAAACGTTGCAAATGAAAATCACTTGACCCCGGGACTCTGCAATCATCATATATCCATACCTGTTAAAATTGCCTAAATTGTGAATCAACTTTTGACCAGGGAAATATTGCTGATGGTCGTAAGTGCGAGGATTGGTCATAAATTGCTCTTTTTTTTCCAGTGCCCTTCTAAATGTGAATGGTCACGAAACAAACGAGGACTATCTGGATTTAAAATGAACGGGATTATTCCTTATTTTCTCTCCCTTTGGCCTCTTTCAACAGGAAACGAGGCCTGTGTATTGCATAAAACCTTCAGACCGTTGCAGCTAAAACTCACCTAATATATAATATATTCGCTGAAACTGAATTTATAGAAATGTTTTTTCTACACATATTGGGGGGTGTGGGTTTTTTGGGGACAGGTTTTCTAGCAGATCTTAAAAGTTTTGCGTTGTGCGTGGCTTATATTATATGAAAAATCACAGACCCGCAAAAGACTAATCAATAAATAAACAAAGAGCAAGGAGCAAATATGTAACTTTTGCCATCTCTTCCTAATTTAAATAGGGGCACTAAAAATGCCAACGGGGTCTTAAAGGGGACACAGGATCAATTTTCATCCAAAAAGATTTCTTTTCTTTTTTTCCCCTAGAGTGTTAAGTCCTACTCTATCGAAGCCAGGGAGGTCTACTCATATGAAAATATGCACAAGGATAGCACATGGATACATGTCCCAGATGCATTAAAAAGAAAACGCAATCTAAACAACTGGGATTCGAAATGCAACAACAAGCAACCTTATTCGTCTCTTGACTCTTTATAGCAGGCGTGTCCAAATCCTGCCCAACTTTAAGACTGGTGGACTTCAACTCCCAGAATTCCCCAGGCTGGGGGAATTCTGGGAGTTGAAGTCCACCAGTCTTAAAAGTTGCCAAGGTCGGACACCCCCCCTGCTTTATAGGATTGGGTTTTTCAGAGCAAGTGCAAACCAATCAGCGTCAAGCGTGTGAGCCTGTCATCCAATCGGCACTCGCTAACTCACAGCGGTGGCATTTCCTACACCCTCCACGCACACACATCACCTTCTGTGTACCCAAGCTCTATAGTTACCGCAAACATTGCTTTCACAGCTTAACCACTACAGGCTCACATCTCTACAGGGTGCAAAATGTCTCCTTTTTTAAGAGCACGGCAGGCCACAGATCCCCAGAGGAACCCTAAGCATGCTTTCACGTGTGTGCAAATGCACAAGTACACACATCCCACCTATAAATCACACACAGACACACCAGCAATCTCTAAACGGGTCAAGGCCACTTTTTGTAGCCCTCCTCCAACGCATAACAGTTGATCTGGGCGGGGGAGATATAAAAAAGAAATAGAATAGAGATGGAAGGGACCTTGGAGGTCCTCTAGTCCAGCCCGCTGCTCAAGCAAGGGAACCTATATACCATCTCAGACTAATGTGAATAAAGTAGGAATCATACAGGGGCAGTTACATGAACACTAAAGGACCCTCTCTATTCACATTATTATAAGGGAGAAATGGGCTTGTTTGGAGATTATATTAAAAACCAGCTAAATCCCATTATTGGTAATATATCTTCTGATGAGACCTAGCTGTCACGGAAGGACAGCCATATGGAAAACATCTGAGGGGGCCTCACTGTCAAAGACACAAAGACATGTATGTTACAAAGAGTTACTTATTACCTAAGGACAGCAATAAATCTCCCGTATTAGTAATTACAGAACTAAGGAAGGTTGTCTAGCTAAAGATAATCTTATAAACTAGACAATAATGGTTTAGTAATTAGAAAGTGTCAATTATCATATAACAAGTGTATGTTAACCATATATGGAAAAATGCATGAGCTCACCAAACCCTTTGTCTTGGAAACATATATAAGCAGTTGTATCAGAGCTTTCCGGGGTTCAGAATTTCAGGTACAAATCTGGCTCTGAACCTGCGCAATAAACTATATCTGGCTGACCCAGGAATGTTTTTCAGTCTTTCATTCCATAACAAGCTAAAGGCAGCAAAATCCAGCCAAAAATAAATGCGGAGAGACTATCGCTGAGGATGGGGGCTCCCAGCAGGAGTCCGAAAGCTCGGAAGAACCAAACCTCTGAATCCCGGTGGTGACCAACCCAGATTGGGATCTTTACAACATTATTCTGGGACACGGATATTCACCTCGTAAAATAAATGCATCAGGTGAAAATCCAGTTTGTTTAAAAAAAGCAGCCCTACTTTTGTTTTCCAGGTTGCTTCAGAAACTCCATTTTTTGTTGAAAACCCAAGCAAAAAAACTGACTTTTCACAGGGCTCCAGCAGACTGACCATGTACAGTGTTTTGCAATCCAGAGGGGTTGGCATCCAATTTGAGCACATCTGGAGGGAGGGTGGAATTATTATTATTATTATTATTATTATTATTATTATTATTATTATTATTATTATTATTTCAATTTATATGCTGCCCCTATCCGAAGACTCAGGGCGGCTAAAAGTAAAATCTTTTTTGTTCCCTCTTCTTTCTTTGGCATCCCCCCCCCACCCCCAACCCATCTCAGCAGCTCCTTCCAAAGTTGATCCTGGTTTAAAGCCGGCTAGTAGTGCCCGAGGTGGTGGAGAAAGCGGGCAGTTGGGAGAACTGCCTTTTAGCCTTTTAAATTGTCAATGGGTTTTAGTTTGAATGTTTTAAATTCTGGGCCGAAGTCATGTCATTCTTTTAAAAATTTTAAATTTTGTATTGGTATGTGTTTTAAGTTCTGGCTGTGCACCGCCCTGAGTCCACTAGGAGAAGGGCGGGATACAAATTGAATAAAATAAAATAAAATAAAATAAAATAAAATAAAATAAAATAAAATAAAATAAAATAAAATAAACATGACTCTCTGGGTGTCCATTCTCCCCAACCCCCACCCCCACCCCACCCCACCCCCCAAAAAACCCAGTCCTTTGGCTGCCTTCCAATCCCACCCTTCATAGACTAAACAAGATTTTTTTTGTCTTTAAAAAAAAAAAACACATCTGTTTATCTGGGAAGAGACACTCGGTGCCAGCCACCACCCAAACAACCGCCGGCCCCCCCTTTAAAGAACAACACCTGGATGCTCTGGGTTACCTTCCCTCCTCTCTCCATCCCCCCCCCCAACAGAAGATGATGCAACCAGAGAGCTTATCAAGCCACATCTCTTTCGACACAGGATCAAACCTCCTTCCCCACCGACCAAAGGCACGGGCAGGGGAGGATGGGAACCGAAGTCCAAGCCAACTGGAGGATGTCCCGCTTTTGGGGAGAATGGGGTGGGGAGGAAGAAGGGGTGCGCCAAGCCAGGATGGGAGGGCTCCCCCCCTTTCTCCTCCTCTGCAAACCTCCTCGAGAGGAGATCCTGCGGAATTCCACCCGGGGGGGGGCTGGTGGGTGGGGGGGAAACCCTTTCTCGGGAGTTGGCTTGAAGTTTTTCAAAGCAAGCAGCCGCAGCAAGCAAATCAGAACCGCGAATTAATCATTCCTCGTTAAGCATCGTAACGACCCGGAGCTTTCTTTCCCGGGTCGGGATTGGGGGAGGGGGGGCGCGATCCCTCGCCCCTTTCCCACCCCCGCAAAAGCCTGACTTCCGTGTAAACACGCCTCTGGCTTTTCTTTCTCTCTCCTTAGCCCGTCACGTGCGAAGCGGAGGCAGCCTTCCTTCCAGGCGCTCCGGATCGTGCCCAGCAGCACCCCACCCGGTGGAAGCAGCCCGGCTGCGCCCGATGGGGAGTGTAGTGCCCCTCCTCCTCCTCCTCCTCTCTCTCTCATCTATCTATCTCTCATCTATCTATCTATCTACAGTATTTTTCTTTCTTTCTTTCTATCTACAGTATCTTTCTATCTATCATCTATCTATCTATCATAATTATATCTATCACGATTCTATCTATCTATCTACATTATCTTTCTTTCTTTCTATCTATCACAATTATATCTATCACGATTCTATCTATCTATCTATCTACAGTATCTTTCTTTCTTTCTATCTATCACAATTATATCTATCACGATTCTATCTATCTATCTATCTATAGTATCTTTCTATCTATCACAATTATATCTATCACGATTCTATCTATCTATCTACAGTATCTTTCTTTCTATCTATCTATCTATCTATCTATCTATCTATCTATCTATCTATCTCAATTATACCATATTATCTATCTATCTATCTATCTATCTATCATCTATCTCAATTATACCATATCTATCTATCTATCTATCTATCTATCTATCTATCTATCTATCATCTCAATTATACCATATCTATCTATCTATCTATCTATCTATCTATCTCAATTATACCATATCTATCTATCTATCTATCTATCTATCTATCTATCTATCTATCTATCATCTATCTATCTCAATTATACCATATCTATCTATCTATCTATCTATCTATCTATCTATCTATCTATCTATCTATCATCTATCTATCTCAATTATACCATATCTATCTATCTATCTATCTATTCTATCTATCTATCTATCTATCTATCTATCTATCTATCTATCTATCTTATGTATCTGCTCTCACCTCCGGCTCCCGCAGCCCTCGCCGCCGCCGCATCTTCCTTCTTCCCGGACGGAGCTTCTGCGCCCGGGCGGAGAGTTTGCAAAGGTTTTTTTGGGGGGGGGGACCGGGGCGCGCTCGCCTCCTTCCTTCCTTCCTTCCTTCTTTCTTTCCTTCCTTCTTTCTTTTCTTCTTTCCCTCTTTTCCTTCCTTCCTTCCCGAGTTCCCGAGCTCCGTCTGGGGCCCCTCGATCCGGAGTCGCTCCGCTTTCCCGCTAAGATCCGAAGAAGCTCCGCTTTAGTTAGCAACAGCACTTAGGCTCCGCTCTCCCCGCGCCCGGCAAGTCCCGCCAGCTTGATCCGGAGTGGCGAGGGTGGCGCGGCCGCTCCTCTCTCGCTGGTCCCTCCCCGCGATCGCGATTCGCGAGTCAAGGGCGGGAGGAGGAGGAGGAGGAGGAGGAGGAGGAGGAAGGCACCCACGGGTGTGGGGGGAGAGGGGTGAGGGGGGGAGAGAGAGAGAGAGAGGAGGAGCCGGGAGCCGGGGGCGCCCAGCCAATGGAAACCCACCGGCCAAGCAGCCGCCAGAAGTTTGCACTTCTCGTCTGGGTGGGAAGCCGCGCCTGCTCTTCCTCCTCCTCCTCTTCCTCCTCCTCCTCCTCCTCCTCCTGGCACGAGGTGCCTTCCGGCGGCGGGGTCTCCCCCCTCCCTCCTTTTTGCACAACAGCCTTGACAGGTCAGCCTGTCCCGCGAGCCCATCAGCGCCTCCCCCACTCCCCCTTCGCAACTCCAGTGGGTTGCAACTTGCTACAGATCGCAGCCTTGGGCTCCCGAGGAAGGAAGGTGCCACGCGCGAAGGACGCCTCTTTCTCTGCGCCGGTTGACTTCTAAGGGACGCCTTCCACCTCCCGCACAAACACACACACACACACACAAAAAAAAAAACACACACACACACATCCGCCCAGCGTTGGCACTTTTTTGGGTTGAATTCTGTAAAAGCGCAAAGGCGAAGGGAGGGAAGGAGGGGAAGGGGAGAAATACCGTCCTCTGCAGGCCGTCCAGATGTTTATTTATTTATTTATTTATTGGTTTGATTTATATGCCGCCCTTCTCCAGAGACTCAAGGCGGCTTACAATGCTTTTTAAGCAATAGCCTTCATACTTTTGTATATACCTGCTTAGTAGGGCTTTCGGCCCTCCCCCCCAGCGGTGTTCTTTTTTTTTTTTAATTTGATTTAGATGCCGCCCTTCTCCGGAGACTCAGGGCGGCTTACAATGCGTTAAGCAATAGCCTTCATACTTTTGTATATTTTATATAAAGTCAGCTTATTGCCTCCACAATCCAGGTCCTCAATTTACCTACCTTAGAAAGGATGGAAGGCTGAGTCAACCTTGAGCCTGGTGAGATTTGAACTTGCAGTAATTGCAGGCAGCTGATGTTAATAACAGCGCTTTAGTCTGCTGCGCCACCAGGGCTCTTTCTTTCTTGCAGATGTTTCCTACCCAACTGGGTAACATCATCACTGTTGGAAGCTAGGGGGTTTGGAGGACGAGGAGGAGGAGGGGAGGAGGAGGAGGAGGAGGAGTGGAGGAGAATGGGGAGGGGGAGGAAGAGGGGGGCGCCTGTGGGATCATTGGTGCTCTCTGACCTTGGTTGGTTTTTTTTTTTTTAATTTGATTTATATGCCGCCCTTCTCCGGAGACTCAGGGCAGCTTACAATGCGCTAAGCAATAGCTTTCATTCTTTTGTATATTTATACAAAGTCAGCTTATTGCCCCCACAAACTGGGTCCTCATTTTACCTACCTCAAAAGGATGGAAGGCTGAGTCAACCTTGAGCCTTGGCGAGATTCGAACCTGCAGTAATTGCAGGCAGCTGTTCTTAATAACAGGGTGCTTTAGACCACTGTACTACCAAGGCTCTTTTTTATTCAAAGTCAGCTTATCGCCCCCACAATCCGGGTCCTCATTTTACCTACCTCGGAAGGATGGAAGGCTGAGTCAACCTTGAGACCTGGTGAGATTTGAACTCGCAGTCATTGCAGGCAGCTGGCAGCTAAGGGCTACTTTAACAGCAGTAGTTTAGTCCGCTACGCCACCAAGGCTCTCGTTTTAAGGCGAAAGCGCGACTCGGAGATGCGTGGGCGGGCATGCAAGTGGCCCGAATCCACTGTCGGGACGGGACGAGACGGTGGGAGTGAGTGGGGGACATACCGAGATCGAAAGGTTAGGCGAAGGAGATCGTGCAACCCAACGTAGATAAACCTACTGAAAGCCTCCTGTTTCCAAAACGGTTGTGAAACACTGTTGATTTACACACACACACACAAAGATGTGGGGACTTTGGAAAAAGTGCAGGGAAGAGGAACTAGGAAAGCAAAGCGATGGATCATCCAACAGATCGACCCAGAGTTCTCACCTGAGACACAAAGGACCAGACTTAAAATGACCCACTGTGGATTTGTCGTGGGAAGATCCCACCCCTCTGGAGACACTGAGTAGCCACTGAGCTTGTCGATCAGAGAGGTCAGCAGGCCGTTCGGCGGTTCGAATCCCTAGTACAGGTCTCCTGTGTGAGCAGGGGGTTGGACTAGATGACCTCCAAAGTCCTTTCCAACTCTTGTTACTGTTAGACTGTTAGAGAAGGTCCTAAAGCTGGGGAAGATGGAAGGAAAGGGGCGGGGACTCAGCTACAGTGGGGATGGAGCCACCATTGGATGATCTGAAGAACCAGCTTAGGCACGGATCTTTATGGAGAAGGTCAAATCTATTGGGTAGCTAGGGGTCAAAAGCCACCTGATGGCACATGATGAATAATCAGCCAGGTAGATAAATAAGGATGGAAACTTTGCGTGTCTACAATCCATGGACAGCATCCGACTGAGCGTCCCATGAACTGTAGCATGTACCACAACACGCATCGATTCCTCTCTTGGATGAGTGGGATGGAACCCCGCCTAAGGAGCCTTGGTGACGCAGCGGACTAAAGTGCTGTTAAAGTAGCACTTAGCTGCCAGCTGCCTGCAATTACTGCGAGTTCAAATCTCACCAGGCTCAAGGTCGACTCAGCCTTCCATCCTTCCGAGGTAGGTAAAATGAGGACCCGGATTGTGGGGGCAATAAGCTGACTTTTAAAAAGAACACCACTTAGGGGGGGCCAAAAGCCCTATTAAGCAGGTATATACAAAAAAAAGTATGAAGGCTATTGCTTAACGCATTGTAAGCCACCCTGAGTCTCCAGAGAAGGGCGGCATATAAATTGAACCAATAAATAAATAAAGGATGGAAACTTTGCCTGTCTACAATCCATCGGACAGCATCCGACTGAGTGTTCCATGAACTGTAGCATGTACTACAATACCCATTGATTCCTCTCTTGGATGAATGGGATGGAACCCCGCCTAATGTTGCACCGACCACTGGACACATCTGCCATGGGTACAGCAGCCAGATAAGTCCACTGCTGATCCCAAACTTCAGGCAGTGACCAGATTCAATCCCTGTGTTGTTTTTTATTTCACTGGAACAACTGAACGAGATCCATTTCAGTTTGACCAAAAGACAAGGGATCTTTCTGCCAGAGTAAAAGATCCACCATTCAAGGATTTTGGATCACCCTGAGGCCTCTAGGGAGAAAGAAGCCTACAATCATGATGGATGGATCAAACAGAAACGGATCAGGCGAAATGTCAAAGCCATCATAGCTTTTAAAGTTGCCACTTCACTCTCTGCAGAATCCTGGGTTATTCTGTCCCCAAATTATAGCTGTTTTATCCAACGCACACCCACTTATTTATTTAAGTCTGGTTAAATGAACCCCAGGAGTTGGATTTGCACAACACCACAAATTGTAGACTCACTCAGTGCATAACACACCAGCCAAAAGCCAATCTTACCTTGGCCTGGGAACGCATGCAAATAAATGTTTTAAGGGGAAATTTCACAGCCTAATTCAGAGATCGAGCAATGCTGCAAATCATTTCCTAAATTAAAATTTATACTCTAGGCAACTATGAATAAGATCCCTGTCTCTCACCACTTCCACCCAAAGAGAAAGAAAAATACAATAATCCTCCTGTGCCCAATGCTGAATTTGTCTTGCCTCTGTTTGATACATCAGCTAATTATTTCTGTTTAGATTTCGGCTAAATCAACAAACCTGGCTTAGCAGAGCCGTCGTGGACCCATCAACTCAAAATTAAATCCCAAACAATAAGTAGGATTTAACAAGGAAGGGAACATTTTATAATCTGTAACCTTTTCAAGTAAAGCAAGCAGAGCTCAAAAGTTTGCCACCCCAAATCGCCCGTTAACTCTGGTTTCCCAAACCATCCTTTGGTGAATTCACACGACCCGCTAATCCGTAATCCACGATTTAACAACCATTGGGTAGGGACAGCATCCTGTGCCCAACCCAGTGGTTCATTAGCTGTGGGCACACCAGGCAAACTTATGGTTTATTCAACCCAGGGTTTTACATTCCAACTTGTTTGTGCAAAACTCTGAACTGTAAAAGGAAGAGAGCGTAGGGGGTTGGGTTCACACAACCCACTAGGTGTAACCCACAACCCACGCAACCACTAAGGGGGTGGATTTGTTGGCAGTCCGTTGGTTCCCGGGCAAAAGAGAGCTCTTATATTACACGCCACCGGCTGACATGTTATTACCCGTTCCCCTGCTTCGCTACACCTCATGTTTCCCTCGCCTCTCTCTCTTGCCAACATTTGCCAACAAGGGAGACTCGGTGCATGATGCAAGACCCCTTCTGGCTTCTGACAAGGTGCCAATTCAGAGTGGAAAGCTTCCTCTAACAAGATCCTCGGGGAGGAAGCCTTTGAAAACCTGCAGGAGAAAGCAAGTGAGAGTAACTCACTATTAGCTACAACACCCAGCTTTGGCTGGACTTATAGCTTCCACGGTGCTTAGCCAACGCTTGGGTTGCTAAGGGGGCACAGTCATCCAAGATCCTAGGCGTGAGGATCTTGTAACTCCAAACGACATATAAACAGACTTCACGGAATAACAGGGTTGGTTGGAAGGAAGGGACCTTGGAGGTCTTCTAGTCTCACCCCCGCCTGGAGACTAAAACATATGAAGAACCGCTGCAGGCATTGGGTATGACTAGTCTAAAGAAGACCTCCAAAGTGCACACTTTTTTTTTATTATTAAAAAGTTTTTAAAAATTTTACAAATGAGAAGAGAAGAGGAATAGAATAGAACAGAATAGAATAGAATAGAATAGAATAGAATAGAATAGAATAGAATAGAATAGAATAGAATAGAATAGAATTTTTTATTGGCCAAGTGTGATTGGACACACAAGGAATTTGTCTTTGGTGCAGAAGCTCAGTGTACATAAAAAATAAAATATATTCGCCAAGAATCATAAGATACAACATTTAGGTTTTCGTTGTGGTGCATTGCGTTTCTGTTTGCAACACTTTATTCAATTTTGTTTTAGGCAACTTTGTAAAAATTTGGGTACCGGATGGGATAATGATGATTATGGTTAACAATCAATGCTGCCTCATTCTTACTCTTTCTGAAGGTATCCTTTCTGGTGTCTAGAACTAAACCACCTTAACAGGTCAAATGTCATTCAGAGGGGCTTGTCTTCTTCATAGGAAAAAAAAAGAGCCATGGTTATGAAAATGCAGGATCCATAAAAGGGGAGGGGGAGGGCCAGGGGGAGGGAATCAAGGTCTCCAAAGACTTATGCAGCGACCTCTGTTTGCATAACACAAGATGCCCAAGGCTTAAATCTTTCTTCATGCTTAATTCCCTTCTTTTATTTACACAATTGCTGACTTCCACTACATTGTT